CTAGGCAACCTAAGTCTGCAAAGTGGAAAAGAAAGGGGTTAAGCACAGATCATTGGACCGTACTACAAAATAAAAGCAAGAGTATGAGTCCTACTTCGGCTGTGTGGGATGCTACAGGTTCTGTCTCGGTTTCAACAAGATGCTTAGCTAGCTTGGATTGAGCAAGGGGTTCGATAGCTCGGTCTTGGCAAAGCGATTCGTTATCTCGGTCAAAAAGAAGGCTCAGTCAAATCGGTTAAGCCTCTAGGGGCAGCTTTCTGAGTTCGGTCTAAAAACTTAGAAAGCTGACTTAGCCCCAAAGACCTAGCTCGGTCGAAAGATAAGGTTTCAGTATGCTACGTTCGGACTTAGTTCGGTTCGTCTATCCCGGCTACGGTAAATCAAATGATGGTTTGACTTATTGAAATTGCTAGTATGAGTATGAAGTGCTAGCTCGGTCGTATAGATAGATTAATGTGGCATCAACTACAAACTACTTTTTAGTTCGGTTACATTGTAATCTTGGATCAAACAGTGTTTTATGGATTACTTCATGAAGTTCATGGGGTTCTTATGAAGTTTTTCCTAGAAAACGCAAGGTAGAGCAAGAATATATGTTTTACAAAAACACACAAAACAAAGTACGAAAACAAGACAGAGGTGCAGTGTTTACCAGATGAAGAGGCAAGAACTGGAGTTGGAAGTAGAAAATGGCAGCAAGCACGAGCTTCACAGTTGCAGAAGATGGAGAACAATGGAGGCAAGAAGAGAGAGAAGAGCTTGAAAACAGTAAAAATGATCGATGAGGGTGATTCAAAGGATGAAAGGGTTGTTTTGTGGAAAGAGAAGGGGCAAAAGGCGGGAACTGTTCAAATTTTGCGGAGTACAAGAACAGCGCGACAGCTGCAGTAAGCCAATATCAGCATGCCACGTGTCATAGGGATAAGAATCGATTCAGTTTCTGTGATTGAAGGGACGTTGTGACCGGACAAGCACAACTCGGCTTAGGTTTAGCTCGGCTGAGAGAGTTTTAGCTCGGCTGGAAAGGCTAAAGGGTTTTTTTAGCTCGGTTGAAAAGGTAAAACTTTAGCCCGGTTTATAGACAGGTAATCCCTATCATGCTACACAGATGGAATTAAGGGGCAATTGAGAAGGTAATTTATATGCGAATTGGGCCGAGCTGGGTTGTTATGGGCCTCGGTGTGAAGGGTGAGTAAAAAGGCCGTAAAGTTACTCCGGCCCGAGAGAGGTACAAAAGTTACTCCGACCCGAAAGAGATGTAAAGTTACTCCGGTCCGGAAGCGACTTGGAGTTAGGCCGGTTTGAAGACGCTTTGAAGTTAGACCGGTCTTAGAGTTAGCCCGGTCATGACGTATTGTGGTTAGACCGGTCTCAGAGTTAGCCCGGTCATGACGTATTGTGGTTAGAGTGGTCAGAATCTTGCTACTCGGTAGCTCGGTCTAACCACACCATTCTTTGTACATGAGGAACCGAGATAAGGAGTAGTGTAAAGGAGAACCGAACTAAAGATGGTTCGGCCTACTCTACGGCTCAGCATAGCCATGATTACCTCAGTCCTGTTAGAACTCGACCATGGTAAAACCATCTCACTTGGTTTAAGCAGTGAAGTGGGTGTTGAGGGATAAGCATTATCCTTCAGAAGTATGAATCCTAGGAGGACTCTACATGGAGGAGTAAGGCTCTTACTTGGATTGTGCCACACGAAACCTATAAAAGCTCACAAACATCACTTATGGAGAGGTAAGACAACTTTGGTTCTTTGATACACAGAGCTTTTTGCCTATTTGTCTATTTTACTGACTTAAGCATCGGAGGGGTTTCCGGCACACACCCGCCGGCTAGCTCACGTTTGTGTTTTCAGGGAATAAAGCGACGACGTTTGGAGGAACGCAGACTTGATCAACAGAATTATACGAGAATGTTTATTTTTTTCCCGTACAGTTTGAATTATGATTTTCTATTTACTAAAACACTACGTAGTAAGGTGACATAATATTCCTAGGCTATCTAATAATTTTAACATCACCCCATTCATATGGACTTTTCTTAAGTGTGCAACTTACACCTTACACTTAGCCTTTCTGTTTGCTGTCTTGTTTTATGTTTACACCTTCCATTTACACCTTTTGTGTTGATTGCATATGGTGTGTAACCTTAAGGGGTTGCACACCATAATAGCACCCCATTCATATATGTGGTGAAAGAGCTAAACGGGGCTTTTTTGACTATTTTAGTCACAAAAAATAAAATATCACATCCAACCAATAATCATTACATTCTTCTCTCACAAAAAAAGTCAAAAAAACTAAAAAACTAAAAAGTTCTTCCCAAACTAAATTTTTTAGCTCAGACTAAAATAATTAAAAAACTCAAAAAATTAAAAAGTCAACCCACTTCCCAAACGGAGCCAAAAGGTCATATGATTTGATGATCAATTCCGCAATCCAACAACGGCAGAATCTAACAATCTGTACCATTATCAATTGGTTTGTTCAAATGTCAATATCAACTGATGTTAAAAAACGTAAAAAATGATGACGTTGTGAGATGGTGTCTTAATTTAATATTATTTATTGACATTATGGAATTTAATCATTTTATTTAGTTTGAGTTTTGAAAATATTTTGGACAAATTATATATATTCTCTCGAGCTTTAGTAAAATTACAGATATTTTATGAGGTTTGAGAAATTACAGAACTCCTGACGGTTATATTTGCATAACAAATTATGGGACAATTTGTTATGAAAATATAAATCTCAGGGAACAATTTGTTATGAAAATATAAATCTCAGGGAGTATATGTAATTTGTCCAAATATTTTTCAATTTTTTTTTACTTTCTTGTTTTTCATTTTTTTTATTATTTTTACTAAATTTTGTTTAATATTTTAAGCAATTTTTTTAATTTTTAGACATACCTAATATAAATATACTTAAAAAATATAATTTTGCAAAAAAATCTATAAAAATTCAATATATTTTTCGTATTTTTGTGTATTTATTAATTTTTTCACAAATATTTTATTTTTTAGACATATCTAAGTAAGATGCATTTAGAAAAGTAAAAAAAAAATATTTAAAATTTTAAAAATACTCACTAAAAACAAAAAAATACAAAAAATAAAAAACTTAATTTTTAAAAAATTTAATTCAAAAAACTCAAACTAAACCCACTGAATATTTCTTTTTTTAGGAGATTTTTTACCCTAGTGGATTGTTCTTTTTAAATCGGACCCTAGTAGATGTTTAAAAAATATTTTAAAATTAATGATAAATTTTATATACGTTAAAAAGTAAATTCATATATTTTTTCATGACATTGTAATTAAGTTTTCAAAAGTTCTCTGACTAATAATTATCTCATTTTTTTTAAGGTTGTTGAAAGATAACTTGACAAGTTCATCTATGTATTCTGTACAAGTGATTTTTATTAACAAAATTTCTTTTGTTGATAAAAAATAAAAAAATCTAATAGTGTAGAGCATTACTCTTAAACTATCAAATAGCCTCTCTAAAAACAATCTCTAAACCAAATTTAGTGCCCGTGTATATATATTTAATTTTTATTTGGATCATGAATTTAGAGAAAATTTGAAAAGATAAAAGAAAAAATATGAGTAAAATGTGAACAAAATATAATTACATTTCACTCATTCTTTACTTTTTTTTCTTTTCAAATTTTTATTCAAATCTACAATTCAAACACAACTTTTGAATTAAATATACAATTAATTGTGCCATTTATATATTTTAATTGTGTGAATTTAAATTTTGTTTAAATTGTTCCTAACATTGTTTCAATCCAAATTTTATAAACATTGTTAATTTAATTTTAGTTTTTAAAATTTGAATGAAAACTACATTATTACAACATATAAAAATTTTGAAGACGAATCTTTTTCGTTTCTAAAATAAATATTAGGAGATTAATTCTTATCATCTTTAAAGGGCTGAAGTGACAAAATTTTAAAAATGTTGCTCATATGTAAACTTTTAAGGATAAAATTATTTTGTGCCAAAAAAAAAAAAAAAATCTACTTGACAAGAAAAAGAAAATTTTGTTTCCGAAAGGACAAATTTCATCAGTTTATATTCAATTTCATCAATAAAAATAAAATAATAATATTTTCAGTGACTAAGTTAATGCGATACTCAAAATGATTTGTCTATAAATTATTGCGTCTAAAATCTTAATTTGTTGTAACGGTTAGAACCATTAAAACCCAAATTAAATAAGTTAACAATTAAATTAATACACTTAAAATATAGAGTCTAGATCCCCTTCTTGAGCCCCTCCTTCATTCTCTCCTTGCAGGGGCCTTCGGGTCCACTTTGAAGTCCAATTTTGATAATCTAAACTGTTCATATTTTTAGATTTATTCAGTATATTATACTTGTAAAAAATCAAGTTGATCGGATATCAGAAAGTATGTCATCAGAAAATTGGGACTACAAACTATTTTTTAATAAACAGTTTTCCGAACACATAGTTTCTGATATCCGATCAACTTGATTTTTTACAGGTATGATATACTAAATAAATCTAAAAATATGAACGGTTCGGATTATCAAAATTGGGCCTCAAAGTGGCCTCGAAAGCCTTGTAAGGAGGGAATAAAAGACCAAAATAAAAGAGAGGATCCCAATTCTAAAATATAAAGCTCAAAATAAAACACAAACACAGATTGGATACTTTAGGTAGAGCAAGGATCCTCTAGAGTGATTTTTTCCTAAAGTTTCCTAAAGTGCTATATTGCGTGGTTGAGATTTACTAGCAAGTCACATCAATTTTTCTGATGTGACTTACCAGTAAATCTCAACCACACAATATAACACTCTACGAAACTTTAGAAAAATTTCACTCTAGAGGATCTTTGGTGCTTTAGGTAACCCCAGTCCCTATAAATAAGTAGTAACTGGGACAATATACCTTAAACATTTTACGAGTTGGGTTAGGAAAAAAGCTAGGACTCTCTCTCCCTCTCTCTCTCTCTAGTTATGGAACCCATCAAGGCTCTCTTAGCGGAAACTCTGCATCACTTCATTCACAGAGACTTCCATGAAGTTGTAGCAAGGATGACTCTCATAGACAAGTTTCTCTTCCTGGTAAACTTGCCTTTAAATCTCTTTCCATTTTAGAATAGCTTTTTACTCCTCCATTTCACCATTCTTGGCTTAATTAACTTTGTGAAATGATGTTCTCTTTTCTTTTGTGGTAATGCAGATGATACACTCCATTGATAGGTTGGGGATATGGTCCCGGTTGCCGGTGTTCTTGGGTCTGATATATCTAGCAGTTCGGCGACATCTTCACCAGGAATACAACTTGATTAACGTAGGAAGAACACCGGTTGGTGTTCGGTCTAACCCAGCTGATTTTCCATTCAGGACTGCTGATGGTAAATTTAACGACCCTTTCAATGAAACAGCCGGCAGTCAAGGAACTTTCTTCGGCCGCAACATTCCTCCTGTTGATCAGAATGATAAGGTTTTTCTCTTCTTTTTTTCTTTTTGTTTTTAATGACCAGTTGCAGTTGTGCCTCACTCATATGGATTGGGGTTAGGCCTGTTCAAAAATCCGTTTAAACTGGTAATTTGAATTGAATCAAATCGAATCATACGATTTGGTTCAATTCTATTAAGAATTGATTCGGTTTGGATTTATGAAATATGAGAACTATAAAAACGATTCGGTTAATGGATTTTATGAAAAAATCACAGTTCCAACCAAACCGAATCGAATTTTAAAAGATATATATATATATATATATATATAATATTAAGTTTTATTTTTATTAATTGGTTTTTTTGTAATTTTAATGATATTATGATGATATAGATATGTAATATTAAGTAATGTCTTAATATTATTAGTTTTTATCATGAGTTAAATATAATTAGTTTGAGTAATTACTTTTCTAATATTAACAATTTATTCTTGTAAATAGAAAATTTTGGAACCGTGAACCAAACTGAAACCGAACCGTTATTTAGGTTTGGTTCTGGTCCGATTTTACAAGTATAATGGTCTGGTCTGGTTCTTAAAATCATAGAATCGGTAGGATCAGTTCGGTTCTTAAATTTTCTTAGAATCGAACCAATTCGGACCGTGTACACCCCTAATTGCGGTGGCGGCTACACAGCAGCCCCCTGAAGCTGCAGTGAGTGTTGGTGGGGCTCACGCCGAAACTATTGAGATTATCTGAATCATTTAATTTGAAAAATTTGTCAAGTAGAATCGGATTACACTTATCTTTAAAAAAAACAATTAGAATGTATGGTCTTTAAATGATATTTGTTGTTTTTTTTTTTTTTTTAAATGAAAACATGCAGCTATTGAAGCCGGATCCAATGGTGGTTGCAACAAAACTACTGGCACGTAGAACAATGAAAGACAATGGAAAGCAATTCAACATGATAGCAGCTTCTTGGATACAGTTCATGATTCATGACTGGATTGATCACTTGGAGGATACCAATCAGGTCTGCTCAAATGTATATATATCAGTTTTGTACCAATAATTTTTTTGATAGGAATATGATTTTCTGATACTTTTGCTCATTCCGATAATATGAGTCTTGTTGTAGATTGAACTTACGGCACCAAGAGAAGTGGCAAATCAATGCCCACTTCAATCTTTCAAATTTTACAAGACTAAGGAGGTTTCTACTGGTTTTTATGGCATCAAGAGTGGTTACTTGAACATTCGAACACCTTGGTGGTACGCACAATTATAATACATATCTATATATCTATAGGATTATTCGTGTAGTTATATATATCTATAGGATTATTCGTGTAGTTAGGATGTGATGTGAATATAGGGATGGAAGTGCTATTTATGGGAGCAATGCAGAGAGGTTGGGGAAAGTGAGGACTTTCAAAGATGGGAAGCTTAAAATATCAAAAGATGGCCTTCTTCTTCATGACCATGATGGGACTGTCGTCTCCGGTGACGTTCGTAATGGCTGGGCCGGCCTTTCCACACTGCAGGCCCTCTTCGTCCAGGAGCACAATGCAGTCTGTGATGCCCTCAAGGTACTTTTTAGAGGAACTATGTATGACCACATTTTTTAATTGTCACCATCAGTTTATTCTACCATGTGAGTGTTTGAGAAATTGTAATTTTAGTTGGTTATTTTAATTTTTAATTATTTTAGTAGGTTAAAATTTTTATATTTGAAAAAATGATTAGATTTTTTTTTTATAGTTAAATGTAATGTTTATGAAAAATAAAATAAAATGATTAATAATTTGATGTGACATTTTATCTTATTAATTATTTTATTTTACTTATTTATTTATTTTTGTATATTTTAACCCAAGTTTTTTTGATAAATTTTCTTTTTAAGAGTTTTATTTCATCTAACTCATAGTCTTTTTTGACTATTCCATTAGGTCCTATTTGACATAAGAAGACCAAAATACCTTCAATCTCTCCTACCCCATTAATGTAGATATTTAATGTTGATTGTCATTATGTTTTGGTAGTTCCCATGACCATTCTTATTCCCCATATCGTCACTCCAAAAAAATACATTAACTACACACCATTATTTAATGTTGATATATATTACACATAAAAATTAAATGTGGTTCTTTATTGATTGTCATTATGTTTTTATCCAAACATTAACTCTATGTGATGACGTGAGTGTTCACATTAGATAACGTGAATGCGAATGTTCACATCAGATGACGTTGTGATAAAGGTGATGTTAAGGTTCACATCAGTATTGCATCAAAATATACAATTACAAATCTCAACTTTCATTTGAATATAAACATGACTGTACGTGATGACGTGAATGTTCACATTAGATGAAGTGAATGTGAATGTTTACATCAGATGACGTTAATGTAAATGTTCATATCAGATAAAAGAGAATGTTCACATTATTTTTAATGTGTAATCAATTAAAAATATATTCACATTATATAATAATATAAAATAATAACATCAATGCTATTTAATTTATATATGAAATTTTCTATGTTTTGACCCTTTTCCTTATCTCTCTTTTCCCAAAACATTAAATATCAATATTAAATATAAGACATAAGAATCTAAGAAAATAATGTAAATTAAAAAAAATAACTTTATAAAATAAAAATATTAAAACACTTCTAAATAAAATTTATAAATAAAAATCTCATATAATAATTCGTGTGTGAATATTTGTAGAAGGAGTACCACGAGATGGAGGACGAAGAACTGTACCGGCATGCAAGGCTTGTGACTTCTGCTGTAATTGCAAAGATCCATACAATTGATTGGACTGTCGAGCTTCTTAAAACCGACACGTTGCTTGCTTCAATGCGTGCCAACTGGTAAAGCAATTTCTTAATCAGAGCCAATAAAGTCGCATTTTTTAATCAACTAAGCCTAATTTAATTGGCCACCATACTTTCTTTAAAATTTAGGTCGTGAATTTAATTCTCCGTAGGGAGTTGAATTAAGGGTGTGTAAATACTTAGATACTTTGTCAAGAATGAAAAAAATTTCTCTTATAAATACTAATCTAACCACTAATAACTAATATTTATTGATAAAAAAAATAAGTCACAATTTTTTTTCTTATATCACATCACCAAGTGATCAGAAGCTTTCAAATGAAAAAGACAGTTTCAGTTTCAGTGTATTTTTTTTTTTTTTCCTTAATGAATTTTTTTTTTCGGGTATGAATTTTTTTCTTAGTGAACAAAAGCTCAAAAAAAAAAAAAAAATTCTTAATGCGTGCCAACTGGTAAAGCAAATTTTTTTTTTTTTCTTAATGAAAAAGACAGAAGCTCTAGGCTTTTTTTTTTTTTTTTTTTTTTTTTTTTTTTTTTTTTTTTTCCTCATATCATATCACATAACCATTATTTCGGGTATGGATTTTTTTCTTTTTTTTGACCCATCAGGTATGGATTATTGGGAAAGAAATTCAAAGAAACATTTGGACACATTGGAGGAGCAATATTAGGAGGGCTTGTGGGTCTAAAGAAGCCTGAGAATCATGGAGTACCCTATTCCTTGACTGAGGAATTTGTCAGTGTTTATAGGATGCACCCGCTTCTGCCCGATCACCTCCTCCTCCGGAACATCAACGCTGCTCCGGGTCCTGACAAATCTCCACCGTTGATCGAAAAGTACACAATCTTTCTCTTATTCATTCATCATCAAAAAAAATTTTTCCTTGTAACAAAATGTATAAAAATGAATTAATTAAATAATTACACAGGGTTCCTATGCCTAATCTGGTCGGGCATAAAGGAGAGAAAGCCTTAACAGAAATAGGATTTACAAGGCAAATGGTTTCCATGGGTCATCAATCATGTGGAGCTCTTGAGCTTTGGAATTATCCTCTGTGGCTTAGGGAAATTATTCCTCAAGATGTAGATGGCACTGATAGAACTACTCCCGTTGACCTACCTGCTCTTGAAGGTAGTTTTCTGTTTGATGAACCAAGCTACTCAAACTCTACTCATTAAAAAGTTGTTCAAGATAAATTCATTAGCTAAATAAGTCAAATTTAAATATATTTTAAAATTGATTAAGTTTCAAATTAAATTTTTAAATTTGAACAACTTAATATTCTACTCGTTTATGAGATAAAGGAGCTGTTGATCGATAAGAATGGTTGTGTAGTTTACAGAGATAGGGAGAGGAAAGTTGCAAGATACAATGAGTTCCGAAGGGGCCTCCTATTGATACCCATATCCAAATGGGAAGATCTAACGGATGATAAGGAAGCAATTGATACACTCAAACAAGTGTACGGTGATGATGTGGAGAACCTCGATCTATTGGTGGGTCTCATGGCAGAGAAGAAGATCAAGGGATTTGCCATCAGTGAGACTGCCTTCATCGTATTCGTTATCATGGCATCGAGGTATCAAATAAGAAAATTCCATTATCTATATATACTTACTTTTTAAATTTTTAATTAATTATTTTTAAGTGTCCTGAAAGTTAGTCCGAAATTTTATTAACAAATGCAGGAGGCTTGAAGCGGATAGATTTTTTACAAACAATTTTAACGAAGAAACTTACACAAAAAAGGGAATGGAATGGGTGAAGAAAACAGAGAGTTTAAAAGATGTAATAGATCGTCATTATCCTGATATGACAAATAAATGGATGAACTCCACAAGTGCATTCACGGTGTGGGATGCACCTCCCAACCCCCACAATCACATCCCTTTATACCTTCGTATTCCCCAGTGAAGCACAACCTCTAATTATATACTATTTGGTGTGAACGTTGCTAAGTAAGTTTGTTGTTTTTTTCTTTTTAAAATGTATTTCACATTTAATAATGATTACCTCCAATAATTACATTTATCAAATAATCTAAAATATTCAAAGTAAAATTTCCAACTTTGTTACATTGTTGTTGTTTATTAGCCTTGTGTTGTATACTTGTATTCCTATGTGAAATATGATCTTTCAAAGATTGTAATAAAATTTACTTGTACCTAACACAAAGCCCACAAGGTCAAAAAAAACAACTTCATCAGCCCATTAGTCTCAAAAGCCAGCCCGCTACACCCTTGGGCTAACGTTAAACCGTCTTAAGGCATCGTTTAGGAAGAAGCAGTTTGTGTCAAGAAGTTAAAAAAAATAACTATAAAAGGTTAATTATTCTTTTTATTTTTTTACATTTTTTTTTTTGGAAAAAATTTAAAAATTATTAAAACATTAATTCCCAAATGAATCTTAAAACATATCAGTTAGGAAAATCTAACTTCAAACTATTGGTTTAGGAACTTTACTTTTAATTAAAAAGTCAAAAAATCACTATAAATTATCATATCATTATCTCTATTTTTTTACATATATTTTTATAAAATATTAAAAAATTATTAAAATTATATATTCTCAAATGAGCAAAAAATTAATTCTCTGTGTGCACGTACTTTGCGATGGAAAAAGCAAAATAAAAAGAATGTTTGAGAATTGACTTTCTAAATAATTTTTTTTTTATTTTTTATGAAATAATATACAAAAAAGAAAAAGAAAAAGAAAAAAAAAGAAGCTATAGACCTAAATAATTTATCAATTTTGTTATCAAATCTCTTACATGGATATGGAACCCACACAAATCCACTTGTGTGTGGGTCCCACACCCATATAAGAGACTTGGTAAAAAAATTGATAGATTATTTAAAATCCTTAAGACCATCTCTAATGGTTCATCAAATCCATCATCAAATAAAAAAGTAACTTTTTGCTTCCCCAACAGTTCATCAAATCCATCATTAAATCCAAGATTTTACTTTTCTGTCATCAAACTGAGAATCAATGTGCCTTTCATCAAATTACTGTTTATTGCTGTTAGATTTTTACCACCAAATGTTCTCCTGAATGACCACCTCAAGGCAAAAGTTTATAAAAAAAAATTACACTGTCCGATCGATTGGCCGATCGTCCGCCTGATCGACCCCCTTGGATGACCACCTCAAGGCAAAAAAATGTGAAAGAATTACACTGTCTAGTCGACCTATCGGTTGTCCGCCGATTGACCAGTAGTTTGATGAAATCACAAATCTCTCCATTGGAGCACTTGATATCAAAGGAAACTTTTACTCAAATTTAATGAAAATTTTGATGCACCGTTGGAGATGTCCCTGACATAACTCTAAAAATAAAAAGATAAAAAAACCTAAGGTTACGTTTAGTAGAATTTTAGAATTATGATTTGGGAATAGAGTTGTATTTTGAGTTTGTGAGTTTTAGAATTATAATTTGAGTGTAGAAAATTGTTTGGTTATGAGGTTTGAAATATTTTTAAATTGAGTTTTGAGTTAAGTATTGAATTAAATTTTGAATGTTTAATGTGACATGCGTAATGAGAAAATTTGTTTGGTAATGAGTTTTCAAAACTTAATTCAAAAAGTTATAACTGAAAACCAAATATACAACTTAAAACTCTATTGAAAAATCTTATTAACAGTCATAACCAAACTATTTTTCAAATTCAAGTAAAAACTTTAATTATTAACAAAAAAATAACACTCATAACCAAATTCTTTTTAAAATTCAATTCAAAAAATTAATTATTAACAAAAATAAAGTAAAATAAAATAACCTCATAACAACACTTACACTCATACTTCATCTTCCTCCATCTTTCCCTCTCCTTTCAACCACCACTGCTGCCACCCTTACCTCCGTCACCGCCCTCTCTCCTTCCAAATCTGCATAGAGTGTCACGACCTGCTCCCCGTATGTCACGACCCAAACCCGTCCCTATGGGTTTAGCACCATAACCGGCTAGTAATCCGAGATTACCGAAGGCCTGCTTAACAGTAATACAGTAATACAGAGTACAGGGGCTAGCGGAAGCCAAACAGTAATTAAAAGATGTCCAATGAGCTGCGACAGTCTGTATGCAAAAAGACTTTTCATATATATATATATATATAATCGGTACCAAAACAATATGTACAATATATACAATCATTCAGTACAGGGACTTAATCCCTATAAGAACAGTACAGTACAACATCAGTCAGTCTATACGATAATTACAAAACAGATACAAAAAAGGGAAAACTAAAACACCCCCAAAGCCCTAACTTGACAGGCTCGAAACCTCGCAGTGAGGCGCAATGGTTGGCTTTGACAAAAGGGAGTCTAACCCACGCTCCTAGCTCCGGTCTGGTGCCTGAACACCTACATATATATATCAGCAGTGAGCTAAAGCCTAGTGAATAACATAATGCGTAAAGAGGTTAAGAATGAATGTCATTTCAGTATTGAAAACAGTCAATTGATTCAGTGTATCAGTCATTCAGTCATAACAGTCATATATGGTACATCTATTAGCAGAACAGTACAGTAAACAATAGGCCTTGAAAGACCGAACAGTCAATGATGGCCATCATAACAGTAAACAAAAGTTCCAAAATAGGAACTTACAGAGATCTCTGTAACAGTAGCAGTAACAGTAACAGTAGTAGCTAAGGATGCCACAATACAGTTCAGAATAGAGGACAAACATCATTCAGTTAACAGTAAACAGTTCAGAAAGCAGTTCGGTTGATCATTCAGAAAATATTCATTTTCGAACATATCTTTACAACATTGTTACTCACAGAGTTCTGGGCTACAGATAAGCTAGAGCGCGTCTCCGGATGCCAACCTTACACAGTTCCAGAGTGAACACACACTAAGCTACACAGTTGGAAAAATAATAACTTAATCCCTATCTTGACTCGGTGTGTTCCTACACCAATATCCTCATTAAGATGCCTTAAACTAGGCCTAAGAATGCCTAGAATGGAATGAGGATGCAAAGATGCACTTTAAAAACATTTAACAAATCTTCAAAAAACAGGGGTCCCGTTCGAGCGTGGTTTTACCCGCTCGAGCGTACAGGCAAACACAAAATTCCACTCGAGCGCGAGTTACCCAGCTCGAGCGGACTGTAAAACATGCTAAAAGTACTGGATGTGTGAAAATTACGCTCGATTGGGCGCTCGATACCCGCTCGAGCGTGTGACACAAGTCCTCGCTCGAGCGTCCAATACCTCGCTCGAGAGGACTTTAAAACTGTGTAAAGTGCTGGATGCACGAATTTCACGCTCGAGCGCCAGTCACTCCGCTTGAGTGTGAGTCTAAAATCTGAAATTTTAATATTTGAACCTCAAGCTCAAAAACAGGTTTTAAAACACCAAATTCGATCCTCTTGGGCCAATTTTCTAGAAAACTCTTGTAAACTCATAATATAACATGTTTCAAAGATTAATTTGAGAAATCAAAGCCCAAAGGTAGTTCAATTAAATCTAATTTCAAACCAATTTTCATGAACATAACTCAAACATGACATGCATGAGTTTAAACCAAATCAAAGCTTCAATTATTTGCTCAAATGAGCTTCAACTTCCAAAACATGATGAAAACATGGACTATAACAATAATATGAACATGCATGTACCAAATTCCATGTAATCAACCTCAAAATGCAACAATGTAGACATGCATGCATAATATATGCTACAATTCAACATTTTAGGACCAATTCTAGGCTCAACTCTTCAATTTAGAATGAACCATGCAAGAACTAACTTAAATACATCAATGAGGGGTTGAATATCCTACCTTGGGTCCTCAATCACAAGACTAGAAGCTCAATTTGGCAAATTCTCTAACAATTCTTCCAATTTCCAAGCAAACCATCAAGTTGAACTCAATTCCCTCACTCTCTCTCACTCTTGGTCGGTTATGTACTCAAAATGGCTGGTGCAATGCTATGAAATAAAGGCTCAATATGTTTTATATGAAGTGGGCCACTAGGCATAGCAAAGTGGTAATTAGTCCATCTCATGTAGTTTAACTTATTTTAATCTAATTTAATCATACCAAATCACATTTCAAATAAGTATGCCATAAAATCACATAAATTATGATTAACACGTATCACTAATCAATTTCAGATTCGACCGCCGATAAGGCCTTTAATTTGCAGTTTAAACATAAAATGTGAACAGATAGTTTAATAGTCGAACAGATAGAGATGCACTTAAACAGATACAAACAATCAATCAGTTCAAGATTTCAGTCGATTCAGTCAATTATCATAATTAGTCTCAATTTAACAGTAATCAGTGATTTATCAGTAATCAGTAGTGAGGGTTGTCACACCGTACCTAAGGGTTAAGTATCGTGATGGCCAGTAACTGAAGTTATTTGCGGCCAATTCTTAAATAAATTACTAAACACGAGCGGAAAAATATTTAAGTGAAGATACCAAAATAATCATTGGAGCTTTTACTTTTATAACAAAAACTCATTGACCAAAATGCCAATATTTACATATGAAGAATATAATTATAAATACGATACAAGTGCTATGTGTGTCTATTCTGTAGCCCTACATCTAAGACTCTCCAAAAGCTATTTCTAAATTGCATTGTTTAAACACGAGCGGAAAAATATTTAAGTGAAGAAACCAAAATAATCATTGGAGCTTTTACTTTTATAACAAAAACTCATTGACCAAAATGCCAATATTTACATATGAAGAATATAATTATAAATACGATACAAGTGCTATGTGTGTCTATTCCGTAGCCCTACATCTAAGACTCTCCAAAAGCTATTTCTAAATTGCATTATTTCTTGAAAATTGGTAAACAGCTATAAGCACATGGCAGAGTGAGAAATATTATACAAAGAGTATAAGTGCATAAAATTCACCATGGATAATTATTGGCTAAACAAAGCTTGATATTAAAATACAAAGTATATAATACGAAAATGATTTGACATATAATACAGAAATCATATAAACAGAATGATCATAACCATGGTACAGAACAGAAAGAAACAGAACAGATGTATGGACTCAAAAAGTGGCTCGTACGAACTCTAGAGATGACTCCCACCATAGTGTAGCACTTAACTTTGTGCAGCACTTTGCCCCATGTGCCAGAAATGATAACCACAGTACAAAACAAAAC